TACTCGTAATACTCGTATTTTATAGCGTATATAATAATGATACTTTATTGAAGATAAAAGCAACAAGAAGAAGAAAAATAATAATAAGACGAAGAAACGTACGATGAAGCCTGACGACTATTATTCATCCAATGTTGAAACGAGTGTTTACCCGGCGGAACCAAATCTAATTGTTTTTCTCTACCCAAAAATTATCTGTTAAGTTGCACGCGAGGAGAGAAATAGCTGCTAGATAAAGAATATATATAAATATATGAATAAATATATTTATATATATATATATATATGTGTTATATATTATATATATACATACGTAAAAACATTCATATAGACCTATAACGACGGGCAAGCGTTGATTTAATAAAGTGAACAAACGAATTGTAGAAAATGCATTTTGAAAACGAATCGGATTAACGAATCTTTCTTGCTTACGAATTTACATATTTTTTATCATCCGATCTGTATTGTATCTCACGTGAAAATTAATTTTTCAGCAAAATTTCGTATCGACGATTACATTCCAAAATCCGATGTTCCGCACGTTTTCACAAATGGCGGCTCTTTTCTAAGCTTAAGCTAGCTCTAAGTCGCGAAATTTCACGTTCTTCGAGGTGAATCTCACTGTGGTCCATGGCTAATTGACAATTAATATATCTACACCCGAATTAAGCCACTGTTACGCTGTTGATACTATATATATTGTAAAATTGGTAAAAAAAAAAAGAATAATTCCATTGACGACTTCCGGTTCATCTCGCGGTACGTAAAATCCGATTGGCCTGTCAATAACCGAAGTTCGACCTCGTCGTGACGAAATAACAATTGTTTCTTTGTTGATAATTAGTTGCTTTGCAAATGAATTGTTTTTTCGAGTTTCAAGAGTGTTATCGATTGTATAGAGGTCGACAAAATTTTGTAAAACCTCGCTTCGTTGTTGTTTGACAAAATTCGTTGTTTCAATTATTCATCTACGAATATTTAAATCTAACCGTACAGCCGATTTCTTGGTTGATTAGTTAACCTCGCGTTAATTAATTGAATCTTCTCTTCTCGCGCTTCACTTTGAAATTCTATCAACGACTTTCTTCATCGTTCGATTCTACTGACGTGTTTTACACCTGTTGGCCCCGTATTGTCTATATTGTTAATAATTGTCCCAATTTCTCTGTTATTGTTCTTCCTGCCCCTCCACGTGCCCAAATCCACGCACACGATTTATACATGTACCTATAGCTTGACATACATACAGACACACATATATATACATATTTCATTGGGACGACTTCTGCTATTTACTATTTGTACATATTGTTTTAATTACTCGTAAAACTATGACGAATTAGCTCTTGCCATTTTATTGCGTAGAGAGAGAGAGAGAGAGAGAGAGAGAGAGAGAGAGAGGGAGAGAGAAAAATAATAATATCCCAGAACAGACTACCTCAGAGTTCAGGAATTAATGAAGGAAAAGTAATGAAGACTAAATAAATGGAAAAAAAAAAAAAAACATTAAAGACGAAAACCAATGCAATAATTATAAAATACAAAATACGTCTGGCGGGCGGGACACGATTCCTTCTTATACCAATGCGCGTTTAGTTGACAGTGCGCGTGCGCGCACGCGTGTATAACTCTTATCAGAATCAAAGCGACAGCCACGTGTCGCAAAATGTCTGCGCGCGCACGCGTATATATATATATATATATATATATATACATATAGGTATACCGAAGCAAAGATAGATATAGATATACGCGCGTTATTGCCATATAAATATACCCTTTTTACAAGCGTACTGCCAATTTTCCGAGCAATTTTTCAATTCCTCAGTTCCTCTCGTCGCCCGCCGGCTAACCATAACATAAGCGTAATAGACATATGGAAATTTAATATAAAAGAAGAAAAAAAAAGTGAAAAAATAGAAGAGAAACTTACATTAGAGACATATCAAGCAGTATTACTCAGCTTAAAGGATAAGAGATAAAACGAAAAAATTGATACATATTCTTACTCATATCATTAGCGTACGTTTTATTGAGATCTGGGCATTCCTCGCGAAACGATCTTTCAATTTAGCTGCGATTTCGTCTTTTGAAAGACGGACGCACGTAATTTGAGTCTTACCTCGATTTATTGTTGTGGGTTGTTTTCTTTTTTAATTCGCGTCTCCTGCCATACTTTTTTTTCTTATTATCTCTGTATACATTCCATCGGCTTATCGCATCCTGAAATATCATTGTTTTCATCGTTTACGCCATATTTGTATCCGAATCGTTATTTTTGATTTTTTTTTTTTTTTTTTAATTACAATCATCATTGTTATTCGCAAGGATATTACGGTACCAAACTATTATCGGTTGTACCAGACTTTATTATTATTATTATTATTATTATTATTATTAAAAAATAATTTTGTCTCCTTATCTTTCTGTGTTTTTAATTTAACGCTGCGGGCATTCTAGATAATGATTGTTGTAAGTTCGTCTGTAAATTAATTTTTGGGCCGATCGCGAGAATATTTGCGTCACTTTGAAATCACACGAGGAAATATCGTACGTGCCGGTGAACGTTCCTCTTTGTTTCGATAAGGCGAATGCTTTCTTCTCTTTTTTATTAATTTTTGTATCAACGGTACTTCTGTCCCTGTATAATTTTTTTTTCTTTTTCTTTTTTTTCTTTCTTTCTTTCTTCGTTTCGTTTTAGTCTCTCGTATCTGTCTCTATTCACTACTGTACTTTTAACTTTCAATATTCACTTGTGCCATACGACGAGAATATGTAATAGCGATACCTACGAGTTGTGCGTACCGAGTTTATTTTAAAAATCTTTTTCTTTTCTCTTAGCAGCGGACGAATGAAAGAAAAAAAAATGTTGTAATTTAATGACATGTGGTTTCTGTTCCTGTATACGGCCGTTATGAAGAACTATCGAGATAAAGTATAATATTACGACTTGTATTATTTTATATGCGTTTAATTTTGTTTTTATAAATATATTTTATTTCTCAAACCTTAATATATCGTTCTTATTTGTCGTTCTCGTTACCCTCTGTTCGTTTATATTATTTCGCCTGACTGCGCGACCCCGTAATGATAAAATGCGAGTTTCAAAGGGTTAAAAGGATTATCGATTAGTCGTCGCCAAATTATCGAGATTTTGCGAGAAAGAAATTATGATGCTCGTGGACGCACCAAATTTTGGGCATTTTATTGTAATTTAGTAAGTCGTCACGGAATAGTCCCGTGACCCGTCGCCACGTGCTGTCGTAAAAAAAAAAAAAAGAAGAAATTTTACGATCCACGTGTTTCCGTAAATCGGTAATCGCAAGAATTACAGAAAGGATAAGAAAAAATAGGAAATCATGAAAATCTATGTCTGTCTATCGATCGTCGTACAGTCCGAGAGGAAAAAAATGATTACCTTTAACATCGTCGTGAAACACGTGAACGATTGAGAAAAGTGGCGAAACTTTAACCGATAATGAGAATTTCATCGTAATTAGGTTTAGGCAACATCTACCTGATGACGAAGCAATATTGAGCGATCTATCTACGATTACTAAGAGTAACTAAAGTTAATGAGAAAAAAAATGATGTTAGGTGTAGTCTACTCTACTATACTGTACGTCTCCTAGCTAAAATTTTTATGTTTTTTAATTCGTTGTGAACGAATGTTTTTTGGTATGTCTCAATTTTAGGATAATTATTAAGAGAAAACGAGAATCAACGAGCTGTGTGGCGGCTTACGAACGTTTTCCTTATTTAGTCGCGTTTCTCATTCGAAATTTCTTACCGTTTATCGGGATACGAAATATCGAGGGCTAAATATTCTATGATACAAACCCGGCCAAAAATAATATCAAGCGTGCGCGTTTCTCGCAACGTATTTTTTGTAACCTCAACAAGACAGTACTGTTACATTGAGGTTACGTGTACGAATGGAAAATTACAGTGTCGTTTGCCTTCGCGTTAAATTTATCGAATCAGGCGATCGATCGTCTAGGAGATATCAAACTTGACGAAATTATTTTTAATTGCCAAAATTTTAAAAATAAACCTGACGACCGATCTCTTTCGTACGCATAACATATTTTTTGCATTGCACGTCCGATCGATTAGTAATACGACTAAGAGTCACGGCTAACGTATGATATAAAACAAAGATAAACTTTTTTGGGGTCAAAAAAATAGAATCTTCAATAGCCAACAATCGACGAGGATGAAATAGATGGGAGGAAGGAAAAAGTTACATGACGTCATATCCTAAGGAAAACTTCACTGCCGCCACCGTAATGACGATAGCGAAATAACGATCGATATGAATATTATGAATTATGTATTGACGATGCCATACACAAGTACCTCATGATACAAAACACATGTACAAATGTTCATACGTTTTCAGAATAATAGCTAATTAATAAATAATTAATATCCAGATTGAGGAAGCGTTCGATTCAATGACCAATGAATTCCTGTATCCTTGAGATAAAAAAAAATTTCAATCCTATAAATCCTACACCTTGCAGTATCCGGTTGAGTCCATTTGCAGGAACAAAAAATTCAGTCAGGACCGTCGAGCATCAACCTGCGAAAAATAACGATGGCAGCCTCTTCCCTTCGCTCTTCAGGATCTGCGCCGGCGGTAAGGTGATTTTTTTGAAAAACTTTCGGCAGCTTAAATCACAAGGATTTTTGCTCGCATATTTCTTTT